TACACGGCCTTATACATTTGTTCAAACCCACAGAACGTAAAACACCAAGAGTGAGTCCTAAGGGAAACTACAGTCTTTGGGTGATTACAATGTGTAGGTTCATCATTTGCAACAAATGGGCCGGCTCTGGTGGGGATACTTGTAATGGGGAAGGCAATGCCTATGTTGTGGCAAGAGGTATATAGGAAATTGCTGCAGGTTGGAACCTGAACAGCTCCAAAAATATAAAGTCTATAAAAATTTTAAAAATAAAACATTTTATACCAATACCTCATTTAATCCTTACAAAAATCTTTCTAGATAAGTAAAAACTAAAGACTGGATAATGTTTTCAAAATTTTAATTTTGATCATTTAATTTAATATTTAAAGTAAATTTTACATGTTGCTATAGGTACCACTATATTAGCTGGGTCTCTCTTTCTTCTCACTCCCTAAGCATGTTTTGAAGTTGAGCTTAGTTTTTTGCCCATGTAATAAAATTTGTGATGTATTAGAGGGGACTTCAAATGAAAACTAGCTTTATGATAGCCTTTAAACCCATGATAAAAAAATCAATTACAATTGATTATATAATTTTTTCCAGAAGTGTGAAGAACAGATAAGATTTGGGATATAAGATAATTTTAAGTAGGACACGGTAGACGTTTATATATTAACATCCAGTAACTAATTATTTAAAATATTATATTCTACTTGTGGGGATTCATAATGGCTTTCTATGTATTAGTTAATTTCCCTACTTGATTTTAAGTGGTAGGCTTTGTTTAGAAATTTCATTAAACAAAAAAATAACATGAAAAATAAACTATTTAATTGTTCTATTAAATACTGTAATTTTGAATTTATATATGTACGTTTACCTTCATTATATAGATTTTACTTTACACCATTAGTTTCTTATCATTCAATATTTACATAGAGTCAGTTTAAAACTGAATTGTTAATTTTCTCATTTTATGCACAAAATGAGTTTGATTAGATTTTATTTTAAAATTCATTCATAGGATAACTAAGATTTTTATGTGTTTGGAACAAAAGTGTCACGCATTGAACAAAACCATCCATTAATATTTCTCTGTAACTTAGATCACTCATACTGAAAACAAATATTAATTTCCACTGTAATGAAAGAGTCACTTATTTTAAATTTTATTTCTAAACTTAAGAGACTGCTGCTGTGAAACCCCCCAACCCACTAGTAGTGGCTACACTCACTCCACTCTTACGCGATTCACTGGAGCTCATTTCCATGAACTATATAATGAGAGAGTGAAAGGACAGAACATTAGAGGCCAGAAAATTGGTGCATCTAAAGGCAACAGGTAGAAGAGTAAAGAGACACCAGTAACTAGAAATTAAGCTCTGGATGGGAGAACATATTCACGAATGATACATCCTATAAGGGGTTAACATCCAGAATGTATAAAGAACTCATACAACTCAACAACACAAAAAACAAACGATCCAATTAAAGAGTGGCCAGAGGACCTATGTAGACCCTTCCTCAAAGAACAAACAGGGGGTTAGCAGGCATGCGGAAAGACAGACGCTCAACTAACCATCACAGACGCAAATTAACCCAAGGAGACAGCGCCTCACACCTGTCGGAATGGCTGTCATTAATAAACCCACGAACAAGTGCTGATTTATTAATCAACATCGAGAGTGTGGGAAAGGGAGCCCTCCTGCTCTGCTGGTGGCAACGCAGACTGGCTCGGCCTCTGTGGAAAGCAGTGTGGAGGTTCCTCAAAAGATTAAAAATGGAGCTGCCTTTGCCCCAGAGATTCTACTTCTGGGGCTATACACGAAGAAACCCCAAACACTAATTCAAAAGAATATATGCGGTCCTATGTACAACGCAGCATTATTTATAGACAAGATATGGGAGCAACCCAAGTGGCCACTGGTAGATGAGTGGATTAGAAAGCAGGGGTACGTATATACCATGGAATACTACTTGGCCATAAAAAGAATGAAATCTTTCCATGTGTGACAGCATGGATGGGCCTAGAAGGTTCCATGATATGTGAAATAGATCAGAAAGAGACAGATACCGTATGATTTCATTTATATGTGGAATCTAAAGAACAAAATAAATGAACAAACAAAACAGAAACTGACCCATAGAAACAGAGAACATTAATGGTTGCTGGAGGGAAGGAGGGTTGGGGAACTGGGTAAAAAAGGTGAAAAAGTTAGTAAGTAAAAACTGGTAGTTGCAAAATAGTCACAGGGATGTAAAGTACATCACAGGGAACACAGTCAATAACATTATAATAACCGTGCATGGTGCAGGTGGTTACTTGAAGCATTGGGGGCATCACTTAGTAAAGGATACGACTGTCTAACCTTTAGGCTGTACACCTGAAACGAATACAAAATAATACCGAGTGAAAATTCCAAAGGCTGAAACAAAAAAGATACCAACGATCTGGGCAGGAGAGACCAGAGAGGGCATATCTGGATGCATTGCAACTAGCAACCTTTCTTGTAAGCCGTTTGGACCCGATTTATGCAATTGCATTATGGCTCTTTGCTGTGTGCAGTGATGATAAATTAGTAATATTAATAAATACCCAGTTGTATAGAATAACACAGTCCTCATTTAATACCTTGCAGAGCAACCCTGTGAAAAGACAGTTAAGCACAAGAAAATGAAACAGCATAAACATGTCAAGTAGTTTTACATTTTGATGCTGATCTTTCTCAACCAACTTTTGCTCTCATTCTTAAGTGAGCAAACACATTTTCAGACCAAGAAAAGATGATTCATACCCCGTATTTCCTCAGCTGACTTGATTCAAGCTTATTGTTTACTCGAAGGGCATGGAAGAAAGGCAACTTTCATGTTGATTCAAAAGCAGTTTATCTTTTGACAACCCCTCATGGGGATCCATCTGTGTCTACAGCTTTAGTGAGTCAGTAGCCATTAGAAGTTAAGACTGGGGATACTATTTTATCTCACATAAAATAGCACTTGTCAGGTACTAGCTCCTGTGACATTAAAAAAAAAAAAATCGGGTTTGTAGGTGGAGAGTTTCTCTAAAATGTAGCTTTCCTTTCTCACAGCAGGGTCTTAACTCTAATCATTTTCTTATATTTAGAAGGTGGTAACTCTCACCTGACCATTACCAAATGTAATATTTTTTACTGATAAACTCTCTGATTTTTTCTTTTCAGGTACTCCATTAAATCATAATTTATTAATATTTTGACCTCATCATTCTTTATAAGTCCTCAAAAATAGAACAAACAGTAAATTTAAACAACCTAGCAAGTTCCCCAAGAATAACATGTTCCCCTGTGTCCCAAAATTGTCCTCATTTATTGCACGGTAGAGAGTTTCAATCCTTATTTATTTACTTTTTTATTATTTTCTTTACAACCTTCAATGTTTTTTTCTGTAACTTTATATTCTTGAAAGTACCTGTAAATCTACTCACCAGACATTTGCCACTTTCACAATTATCAACCAACAGCACATGCAGGGGCTTCAGGAACAAGACTGGTGAATGATGACAGGTTAATATATAACTACTACTCACACGGCAGATTCCTGAGAACTCCCCTACAAACGCTGGTAATAAATACAGCTTTCTGGAGTTTCACTGGAAGTGGGTCATATTGTTTTATGGACATGCAGAACAACAACTTGAACCCAGCGAGTAAATTAGCCAGCCTTCGACATGACCTGTAGGGACACTCGGTCATTGCTGTTTGTCTTCCCTTTCCCAAGACAGTGGTCTTCTTTAGAGTTCTACAAGATCACAGACCTGCTTCAAGAAGGAAAATATATGGGCCACTTTGGGGGATGGATTCAGATGAACACAAAGAGCGGATCTTGCTTTCTCTGAAGACATTGCCTAAGACTTTTCCTATATGCTATGAAAGTGTTGAGGCTAGGGCTTTATGGCTGATCCATTTTTTTTTTAAGCATTAATTACCCGATGGCATAAAATATTACGATACATGTGTCTATATAGTTTCCCTATATCAATAGAGCAGGGTTTTGCATTAAAAGCCTACTTAATGTTTCTTTGATCTGGTTCTTGTATATTAAGCTTCAACCTTTAGAGGTGCAATATTCAGACTCAGATTCTCTCGCCTCCCACCCCCCACCCCAGTCCCACACCCCAATATTTGTAGGCAGGTGGGATGTGGGCATGTGGCAAGGAATTTGAACATACAGAAGCAAAGCTGAATGAGAAAGCCTCAAAAATACGTTGCAGGATGAATGTATGAGTGCGGAACAGGGTAATCCCCACCGAGCTTCAGCTTCAGTACTGCAAGTGGAGGTTATGGGTTTGAGGGAGCGGGGACAGGGATTTTCTTCCACTTCCACACTCCAGAGCGTGCTTTGTAGACTCACCACCCTGTAGCCTACGTCCACAGAAGCTCCTGGCCAAGTCTGGGACTTGAGAAGTTCTGTAATTCATTCTGCCCCAGGGGCTGACTCTGGCTGGGCTTCCAGCAGACAGGCTGGCCCAGGGAGAAAATGAGCTGCAGGCTGCCAGTGGCAGCACCATTGTTTTCCAGCTCTAACTTTCCGAGAGGCAGGGATTTTAGGAAAATGTATTAACCGCCTAATATATTCCAGGCGCTATAAGCTATCTTATCATTAATCATGAGAACCACCCTTTGAAGTCGTATTCTTGAAGCCCTTTGACATGAACAGTGGAGACTGGTCAGCTTGAGGGGCATGTCCAGCATCACCCCCCCTCTGAACCCTGCTGCAGGGATTTGTGCCACATTGTTTTGTTCAAACCCCACGGCTTTCCCGCGTGGCCTAATCTCTAGGCAGGGTCAGTATATTTTCACGCAGGTTTGGGCAGAGTATTTTTTAAATTTTTTCTTTTCT